CGGCGGATCACGTCGCCGAAGACAGCAATGATCTCTGGCGAGCTGAAGCGGCTCTGGCAGGCTGCCTCGTAGGGCTCCTCGTCGGTCGCGAGAGAGTACTCGAGCTCCTCCAGGTTGATGAGGCGCCGTGCGACCTCGAAGGACGAAGAAACGAGACACTGCTATGAAGACATGTAGGTCCAAACGCAACCTTGCGTTCAACGGATGTATGTCCAAACGAGACACTGCTATCAACACATGTAGGTCCAAACGAGACACTGCGATCAACGCATGTAGGTCCAAACGGAACAGTGCTATCAATACTTGATCTCCCTGGGCTTGTACGAGTACTTGACGAGCACAAGCTCGTACGAGTACTTGACGAGTACAAGCCCAGGGAGATCAAGTACTCGTACAAGAGCAGGAACAATGACCAGCTTCCCTGGCCATTGTTCCTGCTCTTGTACGAGTACTTGATCTCCCTGGGCTTGTATACTCGGACAAGGAAGTCTTGGGTTTTGGCGCTGCTCTTCGTGAGAAAACCCAGTGGAGACGTCGGCTGTTCTGCAGCAGCAGCCATGGTAGCTCACCCGGAGGATCACCGTGGAGCGCACAGTGACACAGGCTGAGAAGCACCGTGCACGGCACGGTGAGACTGGGTGAGCGGATGCGGACAAGGCTCGCTTTTGCTCGTTCTTTGAACCAGAACGGCAATGATTACAGAATTTCAAAGTTACAAGTGATGCCTCCACGAAGCACCCCCCTGTGGAGTCGAGAAAGCGTGTTGCTGTATGTGTGCGTGACTCGATGGATGTGATGTGTGTGCTGTGTGGCCCCGCCCCAAAAAATGTTTCGGCCTCTCAAGGCCCCCCCCGCTCCACGAATCCCATTGGGGGGTCGAGATCCCCGCTCTGGTGGGCGGAGACGCCAAAGGCTTCGAAAACCGCGAGGGAGGGAAGGATAAGGGAGAAGAAAAGGACGGAGAGGGAGGGCTCGGAGGCCCTTGGAGGGGGGGATGTGCCCATCCGAGGGAACGGTGCACCCCCCCCTCCCCGTCGTGAAAACGAGGCACCAGCCGTGGCAACGAGCCCCCCCCTATCCCCCTCCGCGACCTGAGTAGACCACACAGGCCAGCGGAGGACGTCATAGGGGGCGGGGGTTCTGACTTCGATGAAAGAAGAGAAGGAAAGCGGGGGGCAAGGATAAGGCAGACGAAAGCCCTTTTAGGCTTTACCCGGCGTGTGGAAATGCCTTTTTTTGGCTTTTGCGGGGACTAACCCGCGCGGTCGCCCGCAGGCGACAGGGCGCCCAGGCCCTCTCCGCGCGCGCAGGCGCGTGGCAAACTACATGCGCACGATCGCCCGTGGAATCGAATGGAACCGTCCGCGGCGAGTCGTCCGCGGCGACTCAGGACCACGCCGCCCTGGAAGAAGAGGCGCTACAAGGATGCATTCTGCGACGCTGGAGATCCTGATGCGACGAGGACGCTGCAGAGAAACATTCTGCGCGCGTACGCACGACCTGGAACGACAAGCACAATACGGGAACAAATTCGGTGACGCTGGAGTCCCCGATGAGACGAAGAAGCAGCAGAGACACGTCTCAAGGCGCAGCAACACCGAAGTGACGCAAACGCACCCCGCGACACGACAAGGACGCTGCAAGAAGAAACTCGGCGACGCAGGAGTGCGTGGAAGCTACAAAGGCATGGAAAGGAGGCTACGAGGAAACTACAGAGCATTCAAAGCGTCTCGAGCTTAGGGAGCCTTCCGCAGAGCCCTTGTGCGCACGACTTTGGCCGAAGGCCATCATATATGCAAGTACAACAGTTCATGCAGGAATCTCTTGTGCATGTGTTGGTGCCACTGCTGCGAGCAGGCAGTGGAACGAGCGAGGAGGGGGTATCAACCTTGACCGCCGGCCCCCGCCCCCTTCCCTTGACCGCGCTCCGCGGCCGGGCGCAAGCGCGGCCGGTCGGGGCAGCCGGCAGGGGCAGCCGGCCGGGGCAGCCGGCCGCCCTCCCCTCCTGCTCGTCCTCCTCCTCCTCCTCCTGCTCGTCCTCGTCCTCCTCCTGCTCGTCTTCTTTCTCCTGCTCCTCCTCCTCCTCCTCCTCCTCTTTCTCCTGCTCCTCCTCCTCCTCCTCCTCCTCCTCCTCTCCCTCTTGCTCGTCCTCGTTCTCGTCGTCCTCGTCTTGCTCGTCCTCCTCCTCCTGGTGCTCTCTCCTCCTCCTCCTCCTCCTCCTCCTCCTCCTCCTGGTGGTCCTCGTTCTCCTCCTCCTGGTGCTCTCCCCCCCCCTCCTCCTCCTCGTCCTCCTCCTCCTCCTCCTCCTCGTCCTCCTCCTCCTCTTCCTCCTCCTCCTCCTCCTCCTCCTCCTGGTAGTCCTCCCCCTCCCCTCCTCCTCCGTGGTAGTCCTCCCCCTCCCTCCTCCTCCTCCTCCTCCACTCCTCCTCCTCTTCTGGTCGCCCCTCGTTCTTCGTCCTCCTCGTCTTGCTCTCCTCCTCCTTCGTGGTGTTCTCTCCTCCTCCTCCTCCTCTCTCCTCCTCCTCCTCCTCCTCCTCTTCCTCCTCTGCTCCCTCCTCCTCCTCCTCCTCCTCTTTCTCCTGCTCCTCCTCTCCTCCTCCTCCTCCTCCTCCTCCTCCTCCTCCCCTTCCTCTTTGCTCGTCTCTGCCTCGTCGTCCTCGTCTTGCTCGTTCCTCCTCCTCCTCCTCCTCCTCCTCCTCCTCCTCCTCCTCCTCCTCCTCCTCCTGGTGGTCCTCGTTCTCCTCCTCCTGGTGCTCTCCCCCCCCCTCCTCCTCGTCCTCCTCCTCCTCCTCCTCCTCCTCGTCCTCCTCCTCCTCCTCTTCCTCCTCCTCCTCCTCCTCCTCCTCCTCCTCCTCCTCCTGGTAGTCCTCCCCCTCCCCTCCTCCTCCTCCTCCTCCTCCTCCTCTTCCTGGTCGTCCTCGTTCTCGTCCTCCTCGTCTTGCTCGTCCTCCTCCTCGTGGTGTTCTCTCCTCCTCCTCATCCTCCTCCCCTACTCCTCCTATCTCCTCCTCCTCCTCCTGTCCTAGGTGGTCCTCGTTCTCTCCTCCTGGTGCTCTTCCCCCCCCTCCTCGCTCCTCCTCCTCCTCCTCCTCCTCCTCTCGTCCTCATCCTACTCCTCCTCCCTCCTCCTTCATCCTCCTCCTCCTCCTCCTCCTCCTCCTCCTCCTCCTCCTCCTCCTCCTCCTCCTCCTCCTCCTGCAGTGAGTGAATGCAGTGGCACGATTGAATGCAGTGGACTGCAGTGTCACTAGCAATTCCTGAAGCGTCTGGCTATTCAAAATGTGGCCCGGGAATGGAGTTCTGGGAACTCGAAGACCAGGAAGTGGCCTACAGTTGGCTCCGGGCATCCAGAATGTGGCCCGGGAATGGAGTTCTGGGAACTCGAAGAGCACGAAGTGTGTGACTGTTGCATCCGGGCATCCAAAATGTAGCCCGGGAATGGCGTTCTGGGATGTCGAAGAGCACGAAGTGTGTGACTGTTGCATCCGGTTATTCTAAATGTGGCCCGGGAATGGCGTTCTGGGATCTCGAAGAGCATGAAGTGTGTGACTGTTGCATCCGGGTATTCAGAATGTGGCCTGGGAATGGAGTTCTGGGAAGTCGAAGAGCACGAAGTGTGTGACTGTTGGTGAAAAACGAGCCCGGCACCCTGCCGCCCGGCAACTCCCCAACACCTGCCCGGACCCCCCTGTGGAGTGATCTGTGAGCTCTTTTGAGTCAACTAGAAACCTATCAGTCTTCGCTGTTAGGTAACAAAACCTCAAAGATTGAAGAACTGTGCGCGCGCGCACCAGAAACCCATACGCGGGGCAGAGGCTGGAGCCCAGCTGGCCACCGTCAGAGGGGAAGAGACAAATGCTGTGGATGTCATGCCAATGGACACTCTAACAGCCCTGTTATTGGATCTCTAAAATGTGCATCTAATGGTGTAAAGCTGGGAAACACATGTTTCAAACATGATATTTGCAGCTTGAGCATGGTTCAAAAACCTGTTCAGTATCTGGAACATATTTAACAACGTGCCTCCTATCCATTGATCGTCTTCCACGAGGCAAGTGGAGCTTGCCTCGAACCACCGCAGAGTGGGTGGCATTACGCAGGGAGAGAGGGGGCTCGCGAGCACGAGTGTCTATCTGAGCCACTCCTCTGGCGGAGACGCAAGCCTCTCCTCCTCCTCCTCCTGCTCCTTTTCCTCCTCCTCCTCCTCCTCCTCTTCCTTCAAGTCTTGGGGGACTTGAGCTGGCCTGGCGGTGCCGTCGTAAAAATGGCGACGATCCAGTCGGAAACTCGGCGCGAGTTCCTGGTGCAGACATCCCACGAAAACTGGACCGTCATCACGGGACCATCAGGAGCGTCGAAGATTCGATAATTGGGTATGGAATCTGTATGCGCGACCCTTGTAATTACATTTTCCGCTGAGTCGAGATTACCTTGGACGACGCATCAGGCGAGGCCGCGAAGATTCTGCCTAGTAGGATTACCATTCCCACCATTCTTCCGAGCGGCTCACACAGCTGCAACAAATGTCTCCTGAGCTCAGCTCTCCAAGGGAAAACCCTGACATCCGACATTGCGAAACAATTGCAACATCGCGAGAAATCACAACCAGAACCCAAAACCCGAACTTCCTGGGGCATCTTTCGGGCCAAATCGACATGTGAAAGGGCACCGGCGCCAGAAACTTGGGCGAAAATGCCCGGTGAAAGAAAAGATCCCAAAAATCCGATGTCGTGATTTTTTCCACACGGGGTCCCGGGAGGTCCCGACCCTTTCCCCAGGGCCGGTGTTTCATCCTGAGTCGTTTTTTGACGGTCCCGAGGCCCGGCGAGGGCCTCTAGAGGCCGAAAATGGCAAAATGATAAGGAACAAAAAGAAAAACAATCCGTCTTGGGGATGCAACACCCGGGTCTCAGGGGAAGAGGGGGAGGCGGGGGATGCCCGAGGGGCGGAGGGGGGGGCAGGTGCACCCCCGGAGAGGGCCCGCTGGGCTCCCCCCGCTCCTCACGCGGCGCAGCCTGGAGGCGGTCCAGCTCTTGGTGTTCTCCTCGAAGCCCTGCACCTCCCACAGATACAATCAACCAGTATAGTAAGGATGCGCGATAAGGATGCAAGGGCCTTGGGCGCCCATTTCGAAGCTTTTCGAGCGGGGGGCGGCCAGCGACAGTGACCAAGGATGGACCGAAGGGGCTCGGATGCAAGGGTACCCTGGGAAGGATGCCCATCCTTAGTATGCGGGAGCGCGTTCCACGACTCGCAAAGCAGCTACTCGCAAATGGCCTGGATCCGCCGCGGGGGATCTACGACAAAATCCATCCAAGCAGACGTGTGTGTGTGTGTGTGTTGTGTGTTGTGTTGTGTTGTGTTGTGTTGTGTTGTGTTGTGTTGTGTTGTGTTGTGTTGTGTTGTGTTGTGTTGTGTTGTGTGGTGTGGTGTGGTGTGGTGTGGTGTGGTGTGGTGTGGTGTGGTGTGGTGTGGTGTGGTGTGGTGTGGTGTGGTGTGGTGTGGTGTGGTGTGGTGTGGTGTGTGTATGTGTATGTGTGCGTGTGCGTGTGCGTGTGCGTGTGCGTGTGCGTGTGCGTGTGCGTGTGCGTGTGCGTGTGCGTGTGCGTGTGCGTGTGCGTGTGCGTGTGCGTGGGCGTGGGCGTGGGCGTGGGCGTGGGCGTGGGCGTGGGCGTGGGCGTGGGCGTGGGCGTGGGCGTGGGCGTGGGCGTGGGCGTGGGCGTGGGCGTGGGTGTGTGTGTGTATGTGTGTGCAGGACTCCCCATGTGTTCCCAGATCTTCTGGGTGTTCCTCTTCCACCCCACTTCCCACATCGTCCGATTATTTTCCTGGAAACCGACGCTTGGGTGTGTGTGTGTGTGTGCCTGTGTGCTGATTCCCCTCCTGATCCTGGCGTCTCAGGAGCAGCCTTCTCAGAAGGCCTTGCCCTCTGGAAGCCCTCGGCTTCTTCGCACGCCGCTCCCCTCGAGCCACCCCCGTGCGCGCACCGCAAGGAGACACCGCCTCACCCACCTCACCCGCCGACCCCCGCCTAAGACCCAACGTTGCGAGAAAAAAAACACCATCGCGAACAGTCACGACCGGAACCCTAGACCCCACCGCTCAGCTGCATTTTCCGAGCGGCATCGATGTGTAAGGGTCCCGGCGCCCGAAAAAGGGCGCGAAAAAGCCCGGCGCGAATAGATCGGGCGCCCGTGTCCACGGAAAAAAATGTCCCGCGCCCCTGATACACCCTTTCCTCCTTGCGGGCCCGCCTGAACCCTCTTGACAGAACGGAAACGGGTCCTGAAGGAACCGGATCCTGATCCCGTGCGCCTCTTCCGGGACCAGTTCTTGGTCCCGAGCCGTTGTTCGACGGCCCCAAGGCCCGCGGAGGGCGCCAGGAACCCGCAAGGGGCCAAAAACGTCAGGACCCGTTTGACAAGCGCGTCCTCCCCGAGATCTGGGCGTGGCCTTTTGCGTTCGGCCCTTACTCAGGGGCAACGACAGAGGATGGGCTCAGAGGCGATGCTCTCCCCACTTAGGCGCGCGGCCGATTCTTGGCGACCTGTTTTCTGGCGTCCAGCCGGCCCCCACCCGAGCGCGCCAGCGAGGCCCGGATCTTGAGCTCGGCCACGTCGAGGCGGGCGCCCACCTCGCGCCGAGCGGGGTCAGACGACGATGGGGCGGGCGCAACCAAGGAGAGGATCGCGGGAGCAGAGGGAAGAGGAGGAGCGACCCGCGTTCAGGGAGCGGGAGGGGAGGGAAGGGCCAGGCCGCTGCCCACCGCCCAGCAAGCGCGCGCACGGGGCGGGCCTGCGCAGGGGTCGTGAAGATCGCGGCCAAGGAAGAGAAGAGGCAAACAGGCCCGCCCACCTACCCGATCCGGCTCTGGCCAAGCTTGCACCGACCTTGGATCGCGAGCGTGCGTTCGGATACGGGCACGAATGAAGCCAATGGCACGAGCGGGGGGGGCAGCGGCAGCAAAGCCGAGGTAGAGAGATGCGTCATGAAGGACGCACACAACTCTTGGCCAGACTCGTCGGGAGAAGGACGGAAGCTAGACCACAAAACGCATATACCCACAAGACACGCCCCATAATGATGAATGTCGTCCACTCCCACAGCTTGGCGGCCACATCTGCGCCCGTCAGCTCCACATCTGCAGCGGCGTGTCGTGTTCCAAGTGTTGAAAAGACTTCTGAGAGCGGCGCTACCGTAGAATCCAAGGACGTGCTGGCCAAAAATGCACAATCTAATCACAGCCCTGTCCGCAAACTCGCACGGGCAGTCGGGCGCCCACTTCGAGAGACGAAGGTACAGGATGGAAGCGACGGGGGCAAGGGGTTGTCGTTATCAAGACGATGGTGAATATACGATTGCACCCAGGAGTATCCAGCAGGGTTGGGGGTCAATACGACAGAACCGCTCCTAAGCTAGTCCTACTGCGCCGATCCGAAAGTTTCCCCAATTTCGCCACCGTGCCGGCCGCGGCCATCTGGGGTGGCGAGCGCGGGACAAGACTTGCGGGGCCCGAGGGCGGATGGTGGCGATGTCGCGAGGGCAAAGTCGGCGCGCCGATGGGCAGCCCAGCGCCCCGCGTGGCCGGAGGGGCCCAGTGCAACGCAAGGGCATAGCCTAACCCCGCCCGGGGTCGCGGGATCGGGTTTCCCTTCCCAACTTGAAACTTTTTTAATCCCAAACGGTGCACTGACCCGAATATGAGCAAACAGCATAGGACCTCCTCGAAAGAAGCTTTCGGGTTCGGTCATGCGCCGGCCCGATAAGTTTATCGGCCGACCTGAAAGCGGCCAAATCCCATCGGACACAAAACTCGGGTCCGGTTCGAACGGCCCGAAAATGTGCAAACCGCATCGGACCCCTTGCAAAAACATGATTCTCGAGGTCTTCGGGCCCGCTCCGAAGAAACCGAGCATAGGCAAACCGCCCAGAACTTCCTATCAAAAACGGTTTCTCGGTGGTTCCGGGCCTTGTCCTAAGGGGCCGCCGATGGGCAGACCGCTCAAGACTTCCTGCGCAAGAAACTGCGTCCCGGGTGCGCCATTGTCAACGGGGGCGCGCCCCGCGCGGGATCGGGGTTCGCGCGGGGGCGCGGCTGCTCTCGCGCGCCCAGGGGGCATTGTCGCGCCCTTCCAGCATTGCGTTTGCGCTGCATTCGCGCGGCGCCGTGCCTTTCAAGTCGGAATAAACTTTCGGAGCGCCGATGGGCATTCGAACGCAAGGACCGCGCAGGTCATGTGTTTTGCGGCGGCTTCATCCAGATCCCAGATGGCACTGCATGCGCTCCGCGTCCCAGCGCCTGCGCGATTGCAGCATTGCTTGTTGCGTGATTGCGTTATTGTGTTGGTTTCCTCTTCGCGTCTTCATTCCAGCCTAGCCGCCGCGCGCGACTCGGCTGGATTGTTGTTTTAGCAGGGGGGGGCTTCGCTTGAAAATACCACTGGGCATTCGAACGCAAGGACCGTGCAGGTCATGATTTTTGCGGCGGTTTCATTCAGATCCTACTGGTACTGCATGCGCTCAGCGCCCCAGCGCCTGCGCGATTGCAGTATTGCTTGTTGCGTGATTGCGTTAAGGACCGTGCAGGTCATGTGTTTTGCGGTGGTTTCATCCAGATCCCAATGGTACTGCATGCGCTCGGCGCCCCAGCGCCTGCGCGATTGCAGTATTGCTTGTTGCGTGATTGCGCTATTGTGTGATTTCCTCTTCACGTCTTCATTCCAGCCTAGCCGCCGCGCGCGGCTCGTCTGGATTGTTGTTTTAGCAAGGGGGGGCTTCGCTTGAAAATACCACTGGGCATTCGAACGCAAGGGCCGTGCAGGTCATGTGTTTTGCGGTGGTTTCATCCAGATCCCAATGGTACTGCATGCGCTCGGCGTCCCAGCGCCTGCGCGATTGCAGTATTGCTTGTTGCGTGATTGCGTTATTGTGCGATTTCCTCTTCACGTCTTCATTCCAGCCTAGCCGCCACGCGCGGCTCGTCTGGATTGTTGTTTTAGCAGGGGGGGCTTCGCTTGAAAATACCACTGGGCATTCGAAGGCAAGGGCCGTGCAGGTCATGTGTTTTGCGGCGGTTTCATCAAGATCCCAATGGCACTGCATGCGTTCGGCGTCTCAGCGCCTGCACGATTTCAGCATTCCTTGTTGCGTGATTGCGTTACTGTGTGATTTCCTCTTCGCGTCTTCATTCCAACCTAGCCGCCACGCGCGGCTCGGCTGGATTGTTGTTCTAGCAGGGGGGGCTTCGCTTGAAAATACCACTGGGCATTCAAACGCAAGGACCGTGCAGGTCATGTGTGTTGCGGTGGTTTCATCCAGATCCCAATGGTACTGCATGCGCTCGGCGCCCCAGCGCCTGCACGATTGCAGTGTTGCTTGTTGCGTGATTGCGATATTGTGTGATTTTCTCTTCGCGTCTTCATTCCAGCCTAGCCGCCGCGCGCGGCTCGGCTGGATTGTTGTTTTAGCAGGGAGGGCTTCGCTTGAAAATACCACTGCGCCGATCCGAAAGTTCTCCAAATTTCGCCACCGTGCTGGCCGCGGCCATCTGGGGTGGCGCGCGCGGGACAAGACTCGCGGGGCCCGAGGGCGGATGGTGGCGATGTCGCGAGGGCAAAGTCGGCGCGCCGATGGGCAGCCCAGCGCCCCGCTTGGCCGGAGGGGCCCAGTGCAACGCAAGGGCATTGCCTAACCCCGCCCGGGGTCGCGGGATCGGGTTTCCCTTCCCAATTTAAAACTTTGTAATCCCAAACGATGCACTGACCCGAATATGAGCAAACAGCATAGGACTTCCTCGAAAGAAGCTTTCGGGTTCGGTCATGCGCCGACCCGAAAAATTATCGGCCGATCTGAAAATGGCCAAGTCTCATAGGACATGCGCCCCAAAAAAATTCTGGTCCGGTTCGACCGGCCCGAAAATGTGGAAACCGCATCGGACTCCTCGCAAAAACATGATTCTCGAGGTCTTCGGGCCCGCTCCGAAGAAACCGAGCATGGGCAAACCGCCCAGAACTTCCTATCAAAAACGGTTTCTCGGTGGTTCCGGGCCTCGTCCTCAGGGGCCGCCGATGGGCAGACCGCCTAGGCTTTCCCGCGCAAGAAACTGCGTCGCGGGTGAGCCATTGTCAACGGGAACGCGCCCCGCGCGGGATCGAGGTTCGCGCGGGGGCGCGGCTGCTCTCGCGCGTCCAGGGGGCGTGCATTGTCGCGCCCTTCCAGCATTGCGTTTGCGCTGCATTCGCGCGGCGCCGTGCTTTTCAAATCGGAATAAATTGTCGGAGCGCCGATGGGCATTCGAACGCAAGGACCGCGCAGGTCATGAGTTTTGCGGCGGTTTCACCCAGATCCCACTGGCACTGCATGCGCTCGGCGCCCCAGCGCCTGCACGATTACAGTATTGCTTGTTGCGTGATTGCGTGATTGTGTGATTCCTCTTCACGTCTTCATTCCAGCCTAGCCGCCACGCGCGGCTAGGCTGGATTGTTGTTTTAGCAAAGGGGGCTTCGCTTGAAAATGCCATTGGGCATTCGAATGTAAGGACCGTGCAGGTCATGTGTTTTGCTGTGGTGTCATCAAGATCCCAATGGCACTGCGTGCGTTCGGCGTCCCAGCGCCTGCACGATTGCAGCATTGCTTGTTGCGTGATTGCGTGATTGTGTGATTTCCTCTTCACGTCTTCATTCCAGCCTAGCCGCCGCGCGCGGCTCGGCTGGATTGTTGTTTTTTTGCAGGGGGAGGGGGGGGGGTCGCTTGAAATTACCACTGGGCATTCGAACGCAAGGGCCGTGCAGGTCATGTGTTTTGCGGTGGTTTCATCAAGATCCCAATGGTACTGCATGCACTCGGCGCCCCAGCGCCTGCACGATTGCAGTGTTGCGTGTTGCGTGATTGCGTTACTGTGTGATTTCCTCTTCGCGTCTTCATTCCAACCTAGCCGCCACGCGCGGCTGGGCTGGGTTGTTGTTTTAGCAAGGGGGGCTTCGCTTGAAAATACCACTGGGCATTCGAACGCAAGGTCCGTGCAGGTCATGTGTGTTTGCGGTGGTTTCATCAAGATCCCGATGGCACTGCATGCGCTCGGCGCCCCAGCGCCTGCACGATTACAGTATTGTTTGTTGCGTGATTGCGTTAATGTGCGATTTCCTCTTCACGTCTTTTCTCCAGCCTAGCCGCCGCGGGCGGCTCGGCTGGACTGTGGTTTTAGCAGGAAGGGGGGGGGGGGGCTTCGCTTGAAAATACTACTGGGCATTTGAACGCAAGGACCGTGCAGGTCAAGTGTGTTGCGGTGGTTTCATCCAGATCCCACTGGCACTGCATGCGCTCGGCGTCCCAGCGCCTGCACGATTGCAGTATTGCGTGTTGCGTGATTGCGTGATTTCCTCTTCACGTCTTCATTCCAGCCTAGGCGCCACGCGCGGCTAGGCTGGGTTGTCGTTTTAGCAGGGGGGGCTTCGCTTGAAAATACCACTGGGCATTCGAACACAAGGGCCGTGCAGGTCATGTTTTTGGCGGAGGTTTCATCAAGATCCCAATGGTACTGCATGCGCTCGGCGTCCCAGCGCCTGCACGATTGCAGTATTGCTTGTTGCGTGATTGCGTTATTGTGCGATTTCCTCTGCACGTCTTCGTCCCAGC